TTATTCGAGTAGACTGATTCCAGTTTTAAATGAGATTGATTGAGCGAGTGTCTGTTATGAATATTCTCAGCATTGATAGTAAATAAAAGAGTGATAATGAAATAATTTATTGAATATAACATTTCTTAATAAGCCAATATACTTTGTTTGCGCTATGATTAGAGTTCGCCAGAATTTTATCACTTTTTATATGTAACAGATGTATGACATAAACAAAGTATAAAGCCTAGCTGTGTGACAATTTGTTTTTTATTCAATGATATGCAATTGATATTTAAATCGTTAAGATTTTGAATATGTCATGTAAGTATCATTTCTGAAGGTAAGCAAGTAGAACAAAAAAAAGGACAAAATAGAGTATGTTTTTTTTTAATCAAATTTTATTCAAATTATATATCCAATTGTCAATATTTCGAGTAGCATGCATATTTTACCTAAAAAAAAATGAAAACACCAATTTGAATTAGGTAAATATACTTCATCATGCAACGTTTTAAAATAAAAAAGACAAGTAAAAATATGTGTTAGATATAAATCCTTTTCAAAGGACAATACGCTATCGTATACTCAACGTAAATCATGAGTAAATCACATATGAAAACAGGTTACATATAAGACAATAATTTTAATAAGGAATCAGTAACATCTACCAACAAAGTCAGTGTTTCGATAAAATTAATGTAACCTGATTAAATGTTTTTTTAATGCTAATATAACGTTCAACGAAGATCCACAATACATTGAGAAGATCTCGAATGATTCATCTGTTCCAAAATATATTGATTGGATTTGTCTCGAACCTTATCTTTGACACTCTTACGCATTGTATTCATTAGTTTACTCAATATTGACACGTAATCGTTATATTGATTCACCTCTGAGTCATTTCCTCTTTTTTTGATGCTATATAATATGCGACGGTTATATTTTTTGCCGTATACTACGAAACTAATTGTGAAGTATGCTTCGTATCAAGCAGGAAGTAACATCATCGGCGGCATCAGACGAAGTAGTTCCTCTAAAACAAATACGTGTTGATGCACAACTCCTTTCGTTTGTCGCCGATGCACTAATAATACAGTTATTTCAAAACGATGAATCTGTACCGGTTGAAGCCGTTTATTGGTAAAGAAAACATCTCTTTCTCATTTGTTTCTTTCGTAATTTATACGATCACTATAGTTTTCTTGTCGAAGAAAATGCAGCTACTTATGGTTTCGCAGCTCGTATAGATGACGAACATGAAATTGTTGCTCTAATCAAAGAAAAAATAGTAGCACAACCAGAATATACACAAGCTCTTACTCAAGGTCATGGCGCTCATCTATTAGAGCAAGATGAAGCTTGAGGGCGTGGAATATGGGTATGGTTGTTGGTGTTGCAGTCGTACATTTTAATCCACACCCTCAATATTCATGAAACTTCCAAAATCGTTCATTTTCAATGAGCTGGTCATTAAGAAAAAACTAATGTCCAAGTTAGAATTTTATTTGGCAAATTAAAATAAGACAAGAATAAAACTCACGAGGGAAGGTCTTCAACTGTTCAGTCCCTTTTGGGTTCAGACTTTGTGCAAAAGGTAGACCCCAGTGAAGTATGGAAAACACCAAAAGATTAAATGCTCTTACACCTTCTGTCCAAAGTTATAGGCATTTTACTGGAATTTGAGCCTATGGCATGGTATATACCAATAAATCGAATGACAGTAGTTCGACCTGAGATTTTGCCCACAAGCAGGTCTATTTGTGAGAGGAATGCTCTGAAAATCTCAGGTCGAAATACTGTCATTCGATTTATTGGTATATACCATGTCATAGGCTCAAATTCCAGTAAAATGCCTATAACTTTGGACAGAAGGCCTAAGGACATTTAATCTTTTGGGGTTTTTCATACTTCACTGGGGTCTACCTTTTGCACAAAGTCTGAACCCAAAAGGGACTGAACAGTTGAAGACCTTCCCTCGTGAGTTTTATTCTTGTCTTATTTTAATTTGCCAAATAAAATTCTAACTTGGACATTAGTTTTTTCTTAATGACCAGCTCATTGAAAATGAACGATTTTGGAAATTTTATGAATATTGAGGGTGTGGATTAAAATGTACGACTGCAACATCAACAACCATACCCATATCCCACGCCCTCAAGCTTCATCTTGCTCTAATAGATGAGCGCCATGACCTTGAGTAAGAGCTTGTGTATATTCTGGTTGTGCTACTATTTTTTCTTTGATTTAAGCAACAATTTCATGTTCGTCATCTATACGAGCTGCGAAACCATAAATAGCTGCATTTTCTTCGACAGGAAACCTATAGTGATCGTATAAATTACGAAAGAAACAAATGAGAAAGAGATGTTTTCTTTACCAATAAACGGCTTCAACTGGTACAGATTCATCGTTTTGAAATATCTGTGTTATTAGTGCATCGGCGACAAACGAAAGGAGTTGTGCATCAACAGGTATTTGTTTTAGAGGAACTACTTCGTCTGATGCCGCTGATGATGTTACTTCCTGCTGGATACGAAGCATACTTCACAATTAGTTTCGTAGTATACGGCAAAAAATATAACCGTCACATTTTATATAGCATCAAAAAAAGAGGAAATGACTCAGAGGTGAATCAATATAACGATTACGTGTCAATATTGCGTAAACTAATGAATACAATGCATAAGAGTGTCAAAGATAAGGTTTGAGACAAATCCAATCAATATATTTTGTAACAGATGAATCATTAGAGATCTTTTCAATGTATTGTGGATCTTCGTTGAACGTTATATTAGCATTAAAAAAACATCTAATCAAGTTACATTAATTTTATTGAAACACTGACTTTGTTGGTAGATGTTACTGATTCCTTATTAAAATTATTGTCTTGTATGTAACCTGTTTTCATATGTGATTTACTCATGATTTACGTTGAGTATACGATAGCGTATTGTCCTTTGAAAAGGATTTATATCTAATACATGTTTTCACTTGTCTTTTTTATTTTAAAACGTTGCATGATAAAGTATATTTACCTAATTCAAATTGGTGTTTTCATTTTTTTGTTAGGTAAAATATGCATGCTACTCGAAATATTGACAATTGGATATATAATTTGAATAAAATTTGATTAAAAAAAAACATACTCTATTTTGTCCTTTTTTTTGTTCTACTTGCTTACCTTCAGAAATGATACTTACATGACATACTCAAAATCTTAACGATTTAAATATCAATTGCATATCATTGAATAAAAAACAAATTGTCACACAGTTAGGCTTTATACTTTGTTTATGTCATACATCTGTTACATATAAAAAGTGATAAAATTCTGGCGAACTCTAATCATAGCGCAAACAAAGTATATTGGCTTATTAAGAAATGTTATATTCAATAAATTATTTCATTATCACTCTTTTATTTACTATCAATGCTGAGAATATTCATAACAGACATTCGCTCAATCAATCTCATTTAAAACTGGAATCAGTCTACTCGAATAA